TCAAGTCCAAAGCCTTCGGAGGGACGCCACGTTAGCGGAGAGCATGCACAGCCGAAAGGGGTGTCTGGGGAACCCCCACCAGCAATGTGGCCAGGGGGCCTCATGCCCAGTGACGGTCCCAATTACTGTTCAGCAAGAACAAAAGCTTTTGGGGACGGATAGTAGCACAGTAGTAAAATGTAGCTCTGCTAGGTCTATAGGTGGAGTGGGAGTTAAAGCGCTAGATTTCCACGTGTTTGACCACGGTTCAAATCTCGGACCCAGCGGTTTGAAACTTAGGCCGGGCGCGCGTGCTCTTGTGTGTGCCCAAGATCCTGGGAGGAGAAGGGATTGCGGTGGGCTATGATTTCTCGCTTTCTGTCTCTCAGAGAGCGCATGCTCCCTATAGCAAAAATCTCTCAAAGGGAAAAAAAAAAGTGACCCTCTGCTATGTTGACTCATGGCTGCCTGAGGCTGGGAGTAGTAAATTTGGGGTTCAAGGCTCTGTTGGGGGTGCTGTGTGTATCGGTCAGTTTCTCTTACTCATGGAAGAAATAAATGAATAAAGAAAACTTAAAAAGGAACAGGGCCAGCAGGTGGCATGATAGCTAAAGTGCTAGATCCCCATGTCTTGACTGGGGTTCCCAGTCCTGGACCCGACGGTTTGAAAAGTAAACCGGGTACATGTGTCCAAATATCCCAGAAGGAGAAGGGATTGTGACCTGGCTTCCCCCCCTGGGGGGGTAGTTTCTCACTGTCCCCTTTCTATCTCTGTCTCTCTCCCCTGAGCACACACACACACCCTGTGGCAAACATCTAAAAATAAATAAATAAATAAAAATTATTGGAGGGCATGCGTGCTTGCGGGAAGAGACCAAAAGAAAGAGAAAAGGCACCCCCGTGAGGGATGGACACGCTACAATCCCTTCTCTACTCATTTTTGAATTTTGGGCATGCCAGCCCATGTGATCAAATATAAAGTATTATTTTTAAAAGGTTTTTGTTTTTTTTTTTAAGGTTTTTGCCATAGGGCAGGTGTGCTCCCCTGAGAGAGACAGAGACAGAAAGTGAGGGAGATGGCCACACGGCAATCCCTTCACCCTCATTCTCCTCCAGGAATTTTGGGCAGGTGCGCGCCAATGGTCAAACCACCGGGTCTGGGGCTGGAGCCAGGGATGACGGTTTGGAAATCCAGTACCTTCACCACCACGCCACCTGCTGGCCTTTGGCGTCCTTCCCAACTCCTCCTTTTTTTTTTTTTTTTTTTTTTTTTGAGAGAGATTTTTGCTATAGGACACGTGAGCCGGCCAGAGAGACAGAAAGCGAGAAATCACCCCACTGGGTGTATGGCCACACCACAATCCCTTCTTCCTTCTCCCTTCTCCCTTCTGGATCTTGGGCATGCAGGCATGAGTTTCAGCCACAGGGTCCAGGACTCGAACTGTGGTTGACTGAATCCAGAGACATAACCACCACGCCACCTGCTGGCCCCTGCGCCCCCACCCCCAATTTTTTTTTTTGGAGAGGTTTTTGCTATAGGGTGCGTGTGCCCTGCCAGAGAAATAGACACAGAGAGACAGAAAGCGAGAAATCACCCCCCCAGGGGGGATGGCCATGCCGCAATCCCTTCTCCTCCATTCTCCTCTCGCAGCGACAGCCATTACGCTAACTGCTGGTCCCGCACCCCAATTTTTAAAGTTTATTTATTTATTTAATTTTAAAAAAACTTTAAAAATTATTTAATTTTATTTATTCATTCATTTGTTTTTTTTTTAATTTGACCAGAGAGACAGAGAGAGAGAGAGGGAAAGGGACAAAGGAAGCCGCTAGGTCCGGGCCTCGAACCGTGGTCATCTATGTGGGAGTGTCCAGCAGCTTAACCACCACGCCACCTGCTGGTCCCAATGTTTATTTATTTTTATGTCTTCCATGAGCGAGACAGAGAGAGACCGAGAGATCTCACCCCCAGCAGAGTCATGGTGCAGAACCCCCCAGCCTCAGCCAGCCCAGATCACGGGTGCGTTCTGCACACTTAGGGACTCCAGAGGCCCAACTGGGTGCCCTCCACATGGTCAGCTCCAGAGCATCGCTCCTGCGGGCCAGTCTGCCAGCCCCTCCAGGCATTCTCCTTGAGGCCAGAGACTTGGTGGGTGTGGGGTAGAGGGGAAGGGGGACAGTCCACTGCCCTCCCCCTGCACCGTCCCCACCCCTCTACTTCCCAGCCTGAATGACAGCCAGCAGGGTCAGGTCCACAGGTCTTTGGAGATCACCCCCCTCCCCAAGCTCCAGACAAAGTAGTGGAACCAGGCTGGCCTAGCGGGAGGGGGTAAGCTCTGGAGGAAGGGGAGGGGGGGCTATTCCTAGTGCCTAGGATTGGGCTCCGAGGGTGTTGGCTGGCTAGGTAGGTTTGGAGGTGGGTCCCCTGGGCACTTCGGAAGGGGGACTTAAGGGCCAGCGGCTCTGTGGCCTAGGGCACTCTGGGGGAGGCACCATGTAGGGTGCTAGTAGGGGCTGGGGCTGGGGAAGGAGCCCTAAGGGTAGCGGAGCCTAGGGAGTGATCTTCAGGGAGTCTGCTAGGGGTGGGTTCCCTGGGGGAGCTGTCCTAGGGAATGAGCCCTAGGGGGCGGGTCCTGCAGCAGGGCTTCTGTGGGCAGGCTCTGGGGGGCTGTGCGTTCCTTGCTGCTTCTGCTGCAGAGGGGCGTGTGGGGTTCACCCAAGCGAAGCACCCTTGGGGTGTCTAATCTGCATTGGGATAATTCCGGGGGTTTCCTGGGGAGCTCAATATTCCTTTCAGTGAAATGGCAGGGGCCGGGGCATTTGAACACCGCTCCTTAGACCCAGGTCCGGAGGTGGCCTCCCCTTCCCCAGGTCGTTCCTTGGAGTGGGAAGGGACAGAGGCTTTGAGCCTGGGCATGGGGGAGACCCGCACTCAGTGCGGGACCATGGAGGGAGGGAGGGGCCCACTTTATAGATGAAGAAACGGGGATGGGGCTCCGCAGCCTGATTCAAGGTCCGAGAGGGAATGACCTTGCACCCCCACATTTGGGGAGGTGCAAGCAGATCCCACGTCCCCGTGCGCTTGGGGTTGAGCCCAGATACTGTGCTGCCCTGCAGGGGGCGCCGGTGGGTACCCTCTCTGGTCCGCGGGCTTCACCCCAGGGCTTTGAGACCCGCGGGAGGCCTGTCGTCCCCCACTTGCAAAGCGGCTGAGAGGTCGGGGGTTGTTTGCGATTCATAAACAATTGAGGCCGGAACACGGAGAAGCTAAGAACACAGGTGAGGCTGGGCGAATTCACGGAAGACATTACATTGTATTAAAAGGACTTGTTTATCTCTTTGTTGCAAGATGCCCCAGGGGGACCAGAACCCTCCCCGGTGCCAGACAGCTTGGGGCCACTTGGAATCCCTCCGACCCCTCCCTAGCTGTGTCCTTTAACCTCAGTCTCCCCACATGACAAATGTCTGTGATCTGCTGCTCCCAGCCTCCCCTCCCCAGGGAACTGGGTGCTGCTACACGGACAGTTATGTTATGTTCACCTCTCATTTTTCCCAGATCTAGAAGCAAACAGTTGGCACCTAAAAAAAAAAAATCGCTAAATTTTCAAAAAGAATTGGGACCAGAAGGTGGTGTGGTGGTTAAGGGCGCTGGACTCCCACATGGTTCACCACGGTTCGAGTCCCGGACCTGGTGGCTTGCTTTCTCTTTCTCTGTCCCTCTCTGGTCAAATTTAAAAAATAAATAAAGTTAAATAAAATAATATTCTTTAAAATTTTTAAGGTCTTAATTTTATTTATTTAAATTGGAATGCTGTTCCAATCACCCGATTTAATCAGCAGGTGTGGTAGTCTGATACCAAAATAATTCTTTTTTTTTAAAAAAAGGATTCTTTTATTTAACTTTATTTATTTATTTACTTATTTTGATTTGACCGGAGAGGGACAAGTGAGAAAGACAGATAGAAAATTAAAAAGCAAGGTACCAGGTCTGGGATTCAAACCATGGTCGGCCATGTGGGAGTCCAGCACCCTCAACCACCATGCCACCTGCCAGCCCCAAATACAATAATTCTTTAAAAAGAATTATTATTGGGACTAGCAGTTAGTGTAATGGCTATGTCGCTGGACTCCCACGTAGTCGACCACGGTTCACATCCCGGACCCGGCGGCTTAAACTCACGCCGGGCGCATGTGCGTGCGTGCCCAAGATCCCGAGAGGAGAATGGAGGAGAAGGGATTGCGGTGTGGCCATCCCCCCTGGGGGGTGATTTCTCGCTTCCTGTCTCTCTGTCTCTCTCCCTCTTTCTGGCAAGACCACGTGCCCTATAACTAAAAACTCTCAAAAAAAATTACTTAATTTGATTCATTCATTCATTTATTTTGATTTGGCCAGGGAGAGACAGAGAAAGTGAGAAAGCAAGCCACCAGGTCCGAGACTCAAACTGTGCTCCATTGTGTGCGAGTCCAGCCTCTTCACCACCATGCCACCTGCCGGCCCCAAATATATATATATAAATTTAACCTAATTATTTATCTTAACTTTATCATTATCATTTTGTAATTTGCTACAGGTCTGGGACTCGAACCGTGGCCGGCCATATGGGAGTCCAGGGTTGGAACCACCACACCGTGCCCCAGCATATTTTTCAAGTCTCCGGGTCCAGGACTCCCAACTGTCAGGTCAGCCGTGTGGGATCCAGCCACTTGGCAGGCAGGCCCCTGTTGGTTAACGTAAGGGGAGTCAGAGGGACCCTACACCCACCCTCTCCTTCTCCCCTTTTACCTTACCTGGTTCCCAGCACCCTGGCTCCCACACAGGCGCCCCGAGAATTTGCCAAGGGTTTGGGGGAACATTCAACCTGTCGGTGAGTTTGAGCAGCTCAGACAAACCACCGACCGTTGAGTGGACCCCGAGGCCTGGAACTGCCGTCCTCCCAGGGTCCCCTCGTTGGGGGGGAGGAGGGTGGCCGGGGTGGGGAGGGACCAGGGAGCCTGAACACAGGGCCACAGCGAAGGTCACAATCAACATTCATTGTTGTCGGTGGGTTGTGAGGACGGAGCCCAGACCCACCGGGGGATGAATGTCACTGTGGCTGAGCCAGACGAAGGCGTGGCTGGGGACCTGGGGACGGGAAGGGGACACGAGGCGACCCCTCTGCTCACCCCTTGGGGTCTGCCCTGAGGGTGTGATCAATCCACGTTTCTTGAATGAATGAATGAATGAGTGAGTGGGTGGAAGGAGGGGTGTGTAGGGGGAACAGCCTTTTTCTCGGTATCCAAGTCTCAGCCCTGCTTTAGCCTCTGCGCTGGGTGCCTTCCCCCCTCCTAATGGGGTGCCCTTTGCTACCTGCTGATCTGTCTGTGTCCTAGCTGGGGGACTCCCAGTCACCCCAGAAACCTGGGCTGGGACCAGGCTGAGGTCTCATTTGAATGTGAAGCATCTAAGAACTGGCAGGTGGTAGGGGGGTCCCCTCTGGTAGCCCAACCTGCACTCTGCAATCTCCCATCCCTCTGGGTACCCCAGGCCTGGCCCAGTTACTTAGTCTGGGGTGTGTGCATGTGTGGGGGAGGGTCCCACTGTACTTATCTTTAGCAGTCCCCAAAGGGTGGCTTTAAACCTCAGTCTGCTGACCCATTAAATGGGGATTCCAAGACAATGTATGTGAAAACCCTCGAGGGGACCTTGTCTCTTTCCACCCCAAAGAGCCAGAATCTCCCTGCCTTCCAGAGACTTCTAAACTTCATCACACACCCTCACAACCCCCAAAGAGCCCTGGGGGCACCTGGCCCTCCCCCCCCCTCCAGCCCAGGGGAAAGGAAGAAAGAAGTTACTAAGTTTTTGCTCCCAGCTACCCTGGTCCTTGAGGTAGAGTTCCCAGTCCGTCCACCCCTCCCCACCATCATGGGGTGGGACAGAAGGGGGAGGCAGGGGTAGCCCCCCCAATCCCCTGGGGCAGGGGTCGGGAGCTCTCAGTCCTTGGGTGCAGCCTGTATCTTGCCCCCCAGCTCACCCAGAGACCCTGCAGCCCTTTGGCAGGTGCATTGAGGGGAGGGGTGGCAAAGCCCCCCAGTGACAAGGAGGAACCTCCCAAGGCCTGCCCCTCCCCTTTCACACCCCCTTGGAGGTAGGAGAAGGGAACAGACAGCCTAGACTCAGAGGCTCCAGAGAGCGGAGGGGAGGGGAGGAGGAGGCAGCCAGAGCTGAGAGCAGGCAGTCTCTTCCCCCTGCCCCTCTGCCTGGCACCACTGCCCAGCCATGGGGACCTTCGACTTGTGGACAGATTACTTGGGTTTGGCCCGCCTGGTTGGGGCTTTGCGTGCAGAAGAGGAGCCCGAGACCAGGCTGGACCCCCAGCCGGAGCCGGCCCCAGGCCCAGAGGATCAGAAGGCCCACCCGGAGTCCCCGCCGGCCCCTGAACGCCTGTGCTCCTTCTGCAAACACAATGGGGAGTCCCGGGCCATTTACCAGTCCCACGTACTAAAGGACGAGGCGGGCCGGGTGCTGTGTCCCATCCTGAGGGACTACGTGTGCCCGCAGTGCGGCGCCACGCGGGAGCACGCGCACACCCGACGCTTCTGCCCGCTCACCGGCCAAGGCTACACCTCCGTGTACAGCTACACCACCCGCAACTCGGCCGGCAAGAGGCTGGCCCGGCCGGACAAGGCGAAGACGCAGGACCCAGGCCACCGCCGGGGAGGAGCAGGTGCGGCAGGGGGGGGGGGGCCGGGCGTGGGGGGCACCTGTCCCTAGCTCCTGGCTCAGTCCCCTCGGGCCTCTCTGAAGTGGGATTAAGCCTAATACTCACCTCTGAGGGTTAGGGGAGAGTTCTAAATTCCTTGGAGAGAGACAGGAAGAGATAGAGAGAGAGAGAGAACTTAAAACGGCATCCTAGAGGGACCAGCAGATGGTGTCATGGTTACATCGCTGGACTCCCATGCAGGCGACCTTGGTTCGAGTCCCAGACCTGGTGACTTAAAACTCACACCGGGTGTGTGTATGTGTCCAAGATCCTGAGAGGAGAATGGAGGAGAAGGGATTGCGGTGTGGCCATCCTCCCTGGGGGGTGATTTCTCGCTTTCTGTCTTTCTTTATCTCTATCTCTCTCTCCAGTGAGAACACACGCCCTATACTTAAAAATCTCTCTCTAAAAACAAAAACATCCAGTATTCTACAAGTGTCAGGGAGCTGGGACTGGGGTTTGCTGTGTGATCCTAGGCAAATCACTCTTCCTCTCTGGACCCATGCAGGAAACATCATCCTTCATTAGATATGGGGGACAGTAGGACCAGCAGTTGGCATAATGGCTATGTCGCTGGACTCCCATGTTGTCGACTGTGGTTCGAGTCCTGGACCTGACTCACGCCGGGCGTGTATGCATGTGTGCGTGCGTGCCCGCGTGCCCAAGATCCCGAGAGGAGAATGGAGGAGAAGGGATTGCGGCGTGCCATCCCCACTGGGGGTTGATGTCTCACTTTCTATCTCGGTCTCTCTCTCTGTCTTTCTGGTGAGCGAACGCGCCCTATAGCAAAAACCTCTCCAAGAAAAAAAAAAATCCACAGAAAAAAGAAAAGAAAAAAAATGATATGGGGGAGGCCGTGGGGAGAGTAGGGGCTTCAGTGCTTGGCATTGGAGCCGTGAGGCCTGAGAGAAGTTGCTCCGTCTCTCTGAACTCGGGCTTTCTCATTCCCTGGATGCTGTTTGTACCTGTGCTCAGCTGGGCCAGCAGGGAATGAGGTGGATGAGAGAGCTGCCGTTAAACACTGGGTGCTGAGCTAGTGAGTGGCGTGGTGGTTAAGGGACTGGAATCCCACGTGGCTGGCCACAGTTCGAGTCTTAGACCCTGTAGTTTGAAATGCAAGACAGTGCGCATGCTTGCAAGTCCAAAATGCCAAGAGGAGAATGGGGGATAAGGGATTTTGGCCAATGGCCATCCTCCTGAGGGCTGATTTCTTGCTGTCTCTCTGTCTCTCTCTCTCTCTGGCGAGGGCTCTCACCCTATAGGACAAATCTCTCTACAAAAAAAGAAAGAAAGGAGACCAGCAGTCAGCGTAATGGCTGTGTCGCTGGACTCCCATGTAGGCGACCGCGTTTGAGTCCCGGACCCAGTGGCTTAAACTCACGCCAGGCGTGTGTGCGTGTGTGCCCAAGATCCCGAGAGGAGAATGGAGGAGAAGAGATTGCTGCATGGCCATCCCCCTGGGGGGTGATTTCTTGCTTTCTGTCTGTCTGCCTGGCGAGTGCACGCGCCCTATAGCAAAAACCTCTCCAAAAAAAAAATATATGGCTTAATGGCTCTGTCACTGGATTCCCACATAGTCGACTGTGGTTCGAGTCCCAGACACGGTGGCTTAGCACTCACACCAGACATGTGTGCGTGCGTGCGTGCGTGCCCAAGGGATTACGGTGTGGCCATCCCCCCTGGAGGGTGATTTCTCGATTTGTCTCTCTGGTGAAACCATGTACACACCTTCTAGCACAAATCTCCCTACGGGGGTGGGGGAGAACCACTGGGTGCTGAATGAGAGAGAGTCTAGAGGAAGTACTTGACCCAGAGGAGGGAGTCCAAGAGGGCTTCCTGGAGGAAGTGACTGGGCGCCTGTTTCAGTTTGTTGGAGAGCACCACCCAGGCACTGGGCTTGTCCAGGGTTTTGAGATTCTGTGTGTACTTGGGTGGTGGAGACAGGTGTCAGATTTCAGGGGAAAGGGCAGGAGCCACTAGGGCCTTGGTCACCTTTGAGAGTTGGGACCTGGGCACCAGCGAGCCATGGAGAGGTGAGACCAGGCCTGCATGTTAGAGCATCTTAGATCAAGCCTTGTTGGATTCAAGGAGGCCCCTGTGGCCCTCCAGGCATGGATGTCCGAGAGGAAGCAGAGAGGCCTGACCCCTGGATAAACAGCTGGGTGGAAACAGTGTTTGCAATTTGCTGTGCGTGGATGGGCTTCGGAGGGCTGCTGGGCACTGCTGCAGAGGGTAGGGCAGTGCTAGGGCTTCAGAAAGGCCCAGACCGGCTCTCCTCAGACTGCTCTGAACCCTGCGTGGGGTCACCCCATCTGCCATCGATCACAAATTCCAATCCCCGTGGCCCAGGTGCCTTTTTTTTTTTTTTAAACTTATTTTTATTTTTTCAATTTGCTATAGGGCATGTATACTCACTAGAGAGAGAGACAGAGATAGAGAAAGTGAGAAAGCAAACCGCCAGATTCAGGACTTGAACCAGGGTCAGCCATGAGAGTCCAGTGGCTTCAAGCACCATACCACCTGCTAGCCCCCTGGGTGCATTTTTAATTTATTTTAGAGAGATTTTTTTCTATAGGGTGCGTGCACTTGCTGGAGACAGAAAGCGAGAAATCAGCCCCTGAGGAGATGGCCCCACTGCAATATTCTTTCCTCTGTTCTCCTCTCAGGATTTTGGGCATGTATACACATGTCCCTGGTGTGAGTTTTAAGCTGCTGGGTCGGGGACTTGAACTGTGGTCGACTGGTCAACCATGTGGGATTCCAGCGATGTAACCATTATGCCATCTGCTGGTCCCCCTAGGTGCATTTTTTTTTTTTTTTTTGGAGTGTTTTTTGCTATAGGGCATCCCCCCTGGAGGGTGATTTCTCGATTTGTCTCTCTGGTGAAACCATGTACACACCTTCTAGCACAAATCTCCCTACGGGGGTGGGGGAGAACCACTGGGTGCTGAATGAGAGAGAGTCTAGAGGAAGTACTTGACCCAGAGGAGGGAGTCCAAGAGGGCTTCCTGGAGGAAGTGACTGGGCGCCTGTTTCAGTTTGTTGGAGAGCACCACCCAGGCACTGGGCTTGTCCAGGGTTTTGAGATTCTGTGTGTACTTGGGTGGTGGAGACAGGTGTCAGATTTCAGGGGAAAGGGCAGGAGCCACTAGGGCCTTGGTCACCTTTGAGAGTTGGGACCTGGGCACCAGCGAGCCATGGAGAGGTGAGACCAGGCCTGCATGTTAGAGCATCTTAGATCAAGCCTTGTTGGATTCAAGGAGGCCCCTGTGGCCCTCCAGGCATGGATGTCCGAGAGGAAGCAGAGAGGCCTGACCCCTGGATAAACAGCTGGGTGGAAACAGTGTTTGCAATTTGCTGTGCGTGGATGGGCTTCGGAGGGCTGCTGGGCACTGCTGCAGAGGGTAGGGCAGTGCTAGGGCTTCAGAAAGGCCCAGACCGGCTCTCCTCAGACTGCTCTGAACCCTGCGTGGGGTCACCCCATCTGCCATCGATCACAAATTCCAATCCCCGTGGCCCAGTTGCCTTTTTTTTTTTTTTAAACTTATTTTTATTTTTTCAATTTGCTATAGGGCATGTATACTCACTAGAGAGAGAGACAGAGATAGAGAAAGTGAGAAAGCAAACCGCCAGATTCAGGACTTGAACCAGGGTCAGCCATGAGAGTCCAGTGGCTTCAAGCACCATACCACCTGCTAGCCCCCTGGGTGCATTTTTAATTTATTTTAGAGAGATTTTTTTCTATAGGGTGCGTGCACTTGCTGGAGACAGAAAGCGAGAAATCAGCCCCTGAGGAGATGGCCCCACTGCAATATTCTTTCCTCTGTTCTCCTCTCAGGATTTTGGGCATGTATACACATGTCCCTGGTGTGAGTTTTAAGCTGCTGGGTCGGGGACTTGAACTGTGGTCGACTGGTCAACCATGTGGGATTCCAGCGATGTAACCATTATGCCATCTGCTGGTCCCCCTAGGTGCATTTTTTTTTTTTTTTTTGGAGTGTTTTTTGCTATAGGGTGTGTGCACTCACCAGAAAGACACAGAGAGACAGAAAGTGAGAAATCATCCCCCGGGGGAATGGCCTGCAATCCCTTCTCCTCCGCTCTCTTCTCGGGATTTTGGGCACGCACGCACGCGCGTGTGCACACATGCCTGGCATGAGTTTAAACAACCGAGTCTGAGACTCGAACCATGATCGACTACATGGGAGTCCAGCGATATAGCCTTTACGCCAACTGCTGGTCTCCCCCCAGGTACATTTGTAAAACAAATTTTAAGAATTATTTTATTTATCTTTATTTATTATTATTATTATTTTCCAGTTTGATCAGACAGAGAGAGAAGGAAAGTGAGAAAGCAAGCCATCAGATCCAGGACTTGAACTGTGGTCAGCCATGTGGGAGCCCAGTGCCTCCTGCCGGCCCCTGCTGGGTGCATTTTTAACCAGCGCTTCTGACTGAGTCCAAATTGCAACAATTACAGATGCAAAAGATCGCTGCTCCTGTGGGTAGTGGTGGTTGTTTTTTAACTTTAAGTTTTTGCTGTAGGGCATGTGCACTTGCTAGAGACAGACAGAGGGAAAGTGAAACCCCACTCCAGGGGGATGGCCACACCACAATCCCGACTCCAGTCTCCTCTAGGGATTTTGGGTGCTCGCATACATGCCCCAGGTGTGATTTTCTAACTGCCGGGTCCAGGGCTCAAACCATGGCATACACCATGTGCCATGCTGTGCTTCAACCTCCCAAGGCACCTGCTGACCCCTTGTGGGGTTCTAAGAGAAAAATCCTCTGGCCCCTTTCATTGCCTTCATTCAGGGAGGACAGATCTTCCGTGACTGGGTTTGGGGCGGGGTCGCGGTCCCTTTGGGTGCCACCTGCCCCATCCCATCCCTGCAGCTTTGCAGTGAATGTCCGTTAAAAAGCGCCTGGTCTCTTCCTTCCTGGAGAAGATAACATTCCCTGTGAGGTCCATGAGGTCCAGGGGGCAGGCAGCACGGTCGCCAGAGTTGGGACCTGCGTGCTCCTGTCCCGGCTCTGGCCGCCGGGGGCCGGCACGTCCCGGGGTTGCTATGCCTGGAGCAGCCTGTAGGTGGCGCCAGAGTCCAAGGATCTCGTAGGTTTCCCTGGAAGGTCGGGATCGAGGGATCCGCGCCCGCCTTTGCGGAATTAAATCTCTCTCCTTCCTCCTCCCTTTTCACTTCCAGGTTCCAAAGGTGGAGGGAAGCCTTCTAGACCTTCGCCCTCTTCCTGCAGCCCCTCCGCTTCTGCCTAGGACGCTGATGCGGGGACAGGGATGCCGCCTTCTCCTGGGCAGGTGGGGACCCACGCTGGATGGACGCTGGATTTCAGAGAAGATCCACCCTTCCAAGACGGGGCCCTAGGCCCTGCCCCCCAGCCTGGGTTCCTGGCCTTGGGGGCTGTTTGGGGCGATTGGGAGGAAGGAGCCTGTCCTCCGGGACCCCACCCCGAAGCCCCCTTCCACATCAGGCTGCCAGACTAGCAAGTTGCTGTCTCCCCAGCCGGGTGCCCTGTTGTCGCTCAATAAACTTTTATGAATGGATCAGCTTCAGACCAGGTGGAGTCTTGGGACACGGGACGGGGGGAGTCCACCAGAACCCCGCTAGAGACCCAGAGGGGCTGGGGGCACCTTGATCTGCCTGCATCAGCCCCCAGGTATTACACACACCCTGCAGTGCTTTTTAAGATTTATTTAAATTTATTATTTTAAAAATGATTGTATTTATTTTATTCGACCAGAGAGAGAGAGGGAGAGAGTAAGAAAGCAAGCTGCCAGGTCCGGGACTCGAACCGTGGTCGGCCCTAGGGAAGTCCATTGATTGCCCTTAACCACCATGCCACCTGCCACTCCTAAGTTTATTATTATTATTTTAAAATTTGCTGTAGGGTATGGGCGCTCCCAGAGAGAGAGAAAACGAGAGGGCAAGCCACCAGGTCCTGGACTTGAACTGCAGTTAGCCACGTGGGAGTCCAGCGTGTTAACCACCGTGCCACCTGCCGGCCCCTCCCACAGTGCTCTTTTGAGTTCCAGTTTGCCCTTGGGCACTGGCGTGAGCCTCATTTCTCAGCGGGCACCAAGGGGCAGTTGGGTTCAGAGGGGCTATACCAGGCCTGCATTGGTTAGTGTGCAGCCCTCTGGGTGGTCACTTGTAGCCCCAGACTTGGAACCACACCCCTTGCATAGTGACACTAATGGAGGACCCGCCAGCACCCCCACCTCACTGGAGGTCGGGGTCATGGTTCATGTGGGAACTGAGAAATGGACTAAGCCCTCCGTCCAGTCTTTGTCACCAAGGAGTCCCTTAGAGGATGTTTACTGTCGCCTGGGGACAGGGACTAGGGAGCCATGTGCCAAGCGCCAAGCAGCTGGGAGCCAGAGAAGATACGCAGGGCTGGGGTGCGGGAGTGCGGGTCTGTGGAGGCCGTGGGAGGACGCCCCGTGGGGTAGTCTGGGTGGACCTGGGCAGGAGCCGGGTGTGAGATGGGACTTGGTTCTGGGGGGCTGCAGTGGAGGGAGCCCCCCACGCCCCAGCCTCTGCCTGGCCCTGCTGGCTGCAGGTGGCCATGCCAGGTTCAGCTACCACTGGCCCTGAGGATCCTACCCCAGGCTGCTGAGGGAGAGGGAGGGACCCGTGCTCCACCCCGGCCCACCATCGTCCAAGTCCCCTCTGTCCTTTGCTTCTCCACTTGAAGGGGACTGGGGCCAGCAGATGGGGTCATGGTTAAGTTGCTGGATTGCCATGGAGTTGACCACAGTTTGAGTCCCAGACCTGGTGGCTTAAAACACATCGGGCGTGTGTGTGCGTGCACCCAAAATCCCAAGGGGAGAATGGAGGAGAAGGGATTGTGCAGTGGCCCTCCTCCCTGGAGGGTGATTTCTAGCTTTCTGTCTCTTCAGTGAGTACACTTGCCCTATAGCAAAAATCTCTCTCTAAAAAAAAAAAAATCAACTTTGAAGGGGACTTGAGGCCACCCAGGTGGAGGGCTGGGGCGGGCTGGGCAGAGCAGGGCCCTCGTGAGCGCCTGTGCCCAGGCTGGTGGGGAGGGGAAGTAGGAGAAAGGCAGCCTGTCCAGGGGCCGCTGACTTCATAAACCAGAGCAGCTAGGGTCTGAGACCCAGGGACAGTGGGCCACACTGGGACGGGCTCAGGGAGCCCACTCCCCACCCATCCAGGATGGGGACCCCTGTCCCCTCGCTCCCTCGTCCCCTTCGCTGGGCCTTGCAGGTGTAAGGAGGCAGAGTGGGAGGAACGGAACGGGAGGGTCCGCCTGGACTGTGGCCGTGGGCTGCAGGGGCTCTGAGCGGGGCAGCTTGGTGACAATCTGGGACCCAGCCAGTTGGCATCTGCTTCTGTAAGGGGACTGCAGAACCACTGGGAAGGCCCACAGGGGTGAGGTGTGGGAGCCCGAGCAGCCGGGACACTCACACGACCTGCCTGCCTCAGTGTGTGTGTGTGTGTGTGCGTGCGCGCGCGCGCACACATGGGCGTGTGCACACAGCCGCCAGCTCTGGAGACCGGGCTTCCCAGGCTGAGCGGTGAACCAGGGAGGTCGAGGAGGAAGTGGTTAGCGAGGTCTGTGGGTGGGACATGACGGAACCCAACGTCCCAACCCCAGGGAGAGGTCACAGTCTCTGGTCAGTGAACCGTTTATTACTGGGGTGTCTCAGACAACAGGGAAATGGGGGGCAGGCCAAGGTCCCACCAACAAAGCCAGCTCTTTTCTCTAGAAGGGATAAGCAAATTCGGAACCTCCAGTAACCCGCCCCCAACTGTAACTGACTGAGAAGCCTCAATTTGCAAATCCAGATAGACATCTGGGAAGACACCCACTGGCTTCCTGGAGCCCAGGCCCCTACAGCTGCCCTGGTTTTGGGGAGACTGGTCTCCTCCCAGGGAGGGTGCTGATCCCAGGCCAGCAGAGAGGTGGGTCCTGGGACCCCTGGCACATCTGGGTGGAAAATAAGACACCTGCCACCAGCAGAGAGCCAGGCCCAGGTGTTCAGGGGTCTGCTGGCGTGGGGGCGCACAGAAAGCTTTGCAGACCGCCTACAGATCCCTCCAGCGCTGCTGCCCTCGGGGGACAGCCCCGGTGCCCTTGGACGGGTGGGCTGTGGGTGCCTTCCCCGTGGGCTTGGCCTTCCGCTGGTGGTGCAGGCGCCTGAAGGCTTCCAGGTCCCGGTAGGTGCTCATGATCAGCCGGCTGCGGTGGGGACACAGCCCGGCCCTGGTCACCATGTGCTGCGGCGGGGGCGGGGCTCACTCGCTCACACAGGCTCACCTGCCTGGTCATTCCTGCGCACACGTGCACTCACAACTCCAAGTGCACACAGTCGGGACAGGCCTGGTGCAGAGCTCCCGGGGCAGGTCTACGGTACCTCCGGAGAGTGGGCTGGGCCTGGTAGGGCCCTCCCCGTGCCCCACCCCTGTAGTCTGGCCTTGGTCCCGCCCTGCCCTCCCCTCCC